TTTAATCATTACATTAATATTCCATCTCAAAATTCTCATCTTCTTCTTCTTCTCCTTCTTTTTCTTTATTACTACTACTACTACTACTACTACTATTATAGTTGTTGTTGTTATTGTTATTGTTGTATTATTGTTATTTATAATTTGTACAATTAACCTCCCTGTGATTCGACCCCGGTCTTGCCGAGTTATTTATTACTTCGACACTCCTGTACTTGGGAGAAGATATTAATCCTTTCGTCGTGTCACCTAGATGACAATCCATCAAGTTCAAAACACGTGGACTTGGGCAATTAGCCAAGTCAATAGTAATGTGAGTTTGACATGTTTTTCAGACCCGAGTATATATGTGTCAGGTATGTGTGCCACACCTAATTAATGTGGATCTAACATGTTTGCTAGACCCAAAATGTCTAAACTTGACGATCAATTAAGTCTATAATAACGTGTGTCTGGCATGTTTACTAGATCCAAGTAACATGGGTCTAACATGTTTGTTAAACTCAAGGTGTCAGCTAAGTCCAAAATGTGTGAACTTGATAGTCAGCCAAGTTCACATGACTTGGGTTTGACATGTTTACCAAACCCAAGGTGTTTGGACTTAATACACAAACAAATTTAATTTATTTCCCATTCCGTGTAAATTTATTTGGGGTTTCACAAGTCCAAAATGCACAAACTTGGCAGGACAACCAAGTCATTTAAAACACCTAAAAAAAATATATCTGAGCTCTAGAAGAATTTTTATTTCGAGTGAGTTTTAGGTTTTGAGGTGGTTTATTTGGTTTTTGGTGGCCATGAATTGGTTTAACAAGGTTTCTATGGTATTTTCTAGATGTTTTAAGTCAAAATAGGTTGAAAATAACTTTTTAAGTGAAAAAAAAGGACCTTTTTTTTTTTCTATCTATCACAATAGTCGAAATTCTAGGTTACACAGGTGATATGTTGTCTATAAATATGGATATAGTATGTTTGATAGATCTAAGAAATATGAGTCTGATAAATTTGCTAGACTCAATGCCCCTAGACTTGGTGTCAAACAAGTCTAAATTAACTTAAGTTTGACATGCTTGTCAGACCAAAGACGACTTGGTGTCAAACAAGTCTAAAGTAACTTGAGTTTGACATGTTTGTCATACCAAAGACACCTACACTTGGCACTAGTCATGTCCAAATTTAATGGACTTGATGGCCAATCAAGTTTAGAGTAATGTGGGTTTGATATATTTGCCAGACTCAAGATATTTGGACTTGGTGGTTAGCCAAGTTCAAAATGCATGGTTTTGGTGGGTAGCCATCCATATAAGATGGGTTTAACATGTTTGCCAGACTCAAAACGCCTGAACTTGGTTGATCATCAAGTTTAAAACATGTGGACTTAGGCGGTCAACCAAGTCTACCGTAATGTGGGTTTGACATGTTTGCTAGATCCAAGTATACATGGGTCAGATATATTTTTCATACCTTAATAATATGGATCTGGTATGTTTGCTAGACTCAAGATGTGTCGACTTGAAAATCATCCAAGTCTACAGTAATATAGGCTTGACATATTTTTCAAACCCAAATAATATGGGTGTGACATGTTTACTAGATCTAAGACACTTGAACTTTACTTTAAGTCCAAAGTGTGCAAACTTAACAGTTAATGAAGTTCAAATAACATAAATATAATATGTTTGTCAAAATTAATATACCTAAACTTAAAAAATAATTAAGTCCAAATTACATGGACCTGACAATTATCCATGTCATGCTACTTTCCATGTTCACGTGTATTTACTTGCTAATAATTATTATTTTATAGCAAATTGAAGTGGTTCGCATCTTATAGTTATGCTTTATTTACTTTAGTTTCAATATTACTAGTTTTTTCAATCTTAGAAGTTATTGTTTTTCTTTTTTCCTAACATTTTTTAATGTTTTTCACAAATATCTACAATGTAGTGCATGTAATCTAACTAGTTTTATCTATTTTGAAAAGATTTTGTGCAACAATTACTTTCATACAATAAACAATAAGCAATTTCAAAAATTCTTATAAATAACCATCATTTTTATTTATTTTAATATTAAAAATGAGAAATAACATGAAGAAGATTTTAAAAAATGTCCCCAGAAAGAAGTGTAGCATAATAGTAAAGGGTTTGAGATCTGCACAACAAGTCTCGAGTTCGAGTTAAAACGTACATCTCTTATAAGATCTTGGGATAAACAGGGTTTTACTCACTTACTTGGACCCACAAAATACACTTTCTAGGAGATGGAGTTTCCTCGAATAAAAAAAAATAAAAAAAATATTTGAACATGATAAAAATCTTTGTTAAAATCTTTATAGGTTATATTCTTATATATAACAGTATTATACTATTTTTATTTGTTTTTAAGATAATTATAATCAATTAAGTTAAATTTTTTAGATTTATATTAAATATTTAAATTAATTTATACATATATTATCTTGACTAATATTCACAAACCTAACCGATTAAGTTAATTACTTATTATGGAGGTGTGAGTGTCACTCTATGAATAACACATCAAATAACACTCCATGAATAAAAAATATGAATAACATTTAAAAATGACAAAATAAACCTTATTGGATAAAATATCTTGAGAAAAAGTGAGAGTTTTTTAATAAAAATATTCAATCTATAAATTATTAAATATAAAAATAAAATAAATATGAGGTATAAGTTTTCAAAATTCCCAATCTATAATAACTATTTCTTATATTTTTCTTACTGATTATTATTTATATTAACTGATTTTGATAGATTATAATACAGATATTACATTTTTACCACTATTTTTAAACACCCGTACAAAGAAATTAATGTTTGAGGCCACTAGCCAGTACTATGACCGGTAATAAAAAAACTTAAAAAATTCGCAGAGAATCTCCTGTAGGTTTATTACCCCACACCCGTTCCCCTTCTTTCTCAGGTTCATACTGCTGCATCTAGCAAAGTAACAAACATCTTCCAATCCACTCCAGATAGCCAAACCCTCTCTCTTTCTCCAACTTTCACATCTCTTTACTCTCTCAATGGCAACCAAAACAGATAATCTTTCAACCGCTGCCGTTGAAGATAACCCTATCGAAACCCTAGACACGGCAGTCCCTGATTCTACCAAGCCAGATCGAGGCGAAGATTCTACCAACACCGCATCATCCGCCGTTGAGTTAGCTACCGAAGGGCCTAAGAATGACTCCGAGAACTCAAAGAGCGCTGCACCGGTCACCGACATCGAGAAGAAGATCCGCCGTGCTGAACGTTTTGGAATTACTGTTCAGCTTTCCGAGCAAGAGAAACGCAATTCTCGTGCTGAAAGGTATATAATATATTTTTCTTCGTGTTTTAGGTTTATTAGTTTTCATTTACTATTTTGAACTTTGCAATTAGGGTTTTGAACTTCTTTCCTTTTTTTTTGCTTGGATTAGTGGACCTTGATTCAAAGTTACATGCATAATACATGATTTAGATTATTCTTTGTTGTTGTGGATTTTTTGGCCCAAAGTTTAGATTACATACGCCTTATTCTAGTGTTCTTTTGGGAGCTTAACTGGTAGTTTGAAAAGTAGAGGGTATATTATTTTTGGGAATGAAAACCGAAACTTCGCTTCTTTAATGGTCGAGAGACTGATCTTGAGTTGTTTAGAAAGGTGTGCATTTGGCTTGATCTGTTATAGTATTTGTAATACAAAGTTAATAGTTGGAGTCCATAAGGCAAGTCATGGGGAACTTTGTTTCAACATTTGCATGTATTTGCCACTGCTTCGGCCCTGGTGATTCCAGCATGAGTCTCTGAAGGAGTTTATGCTTTGGTGTGTATGCTTGTGCTTATGTGCAAGTGCAATGCTTATGTGCAAGTGAAAATGGGTGCGTTTGTGGGAAGGTGTTGTATGGATCAAATGATTTTCTAGGTGTCAATGGGATTTTTCCCATGGAAATGTCTGAAGAACTTGATTTCCCTTTTCTTTTCACTAACTGAAACTTTCATCGGTGAACCTATCATGCTGTAGGTTTGGCACCAGCACTGGCACTGGCACTGGATCTACAGGACAGGGGTCAGAGTCAGACTCGGTGAAGAAATCAGAGGAGCTGAAGAGGAAGGCTAGAGCAGAGAGGTGTTATTCCTGGTGTTAAACAGCTTTACTTGAATTGCCCTTGTTTTTCAGTTTACTGTTCTCACAAGTTAGTCCTAAAACTTATTATTTTGTTTCTTCAGGTTTGGGATTCCTGTACCACCTGCAGCTAGTGATGAGGAGGCAAAGAAGAAATCACGTCTTGAAAGATTCACACCGGCTGCTAAATCAAATACCCTGGAAGAAGACAAAAGGAAGGCAAGGGCTCTCAGGTATGTTTAACTGCAAACTGCTCTGAGTTGTTCAGAATTTAAAATGCTTGTGATTCATAAGAACCATGACTAACATGCTACTCCATGCTTCCAGGTTCTCACAAAGTTCATCTGGTTCTCTATCCATAAATGGCAAGGGGGATCTTGAGCCAGTGAGACCTTCTTTCATGGATTACTGCTCCATTTCATTTGAAAGGATAAATTGTTATTTATTTTTATATTATTTCTCAGTACTGACTTTTTTTTCTTCTCTTGCTTTCTGCAATCAGAAGGCGGCTATTGCAGGTGAGGCTGGTGGAGGGTCTTGAATTGACATCTCCTTTACTAGTTCTTAGGTATTATTTGAGATTTTATTTTCTAATTCAGCTATTAATTTTTTTGAGAGAATAATTGTTAAGTATTTTTTTTTTTAATATGTTTTGCATTGGAAGTTAACCTTGTATCGAATTGAATTGACATTTTATCTGTGATCAGTTGTTGAGTCATGTTTATTTAGGTTTTAATTTTGCTAGTTCACTCAATCTTAATTTTTGTTCTGTTGTTGTTTTGGCAGGTTTAGTGTTCTAACATGAGATTCTCCCTGAGGCTTCTATCCGCCTTTTCATTTTTCAACAAAAGAACTCCCAGATGCAGCACTCTTCATTCTCAGATAAATCTATTGAAGGCATTTGACATGATTTTGGCACCTTCTGTTTCATATTAGCTTTTGATGTTGTTTTCTTGGGGCTTAGAGGAATCAACAATGCCTTTGAGTGTTCACTTTTCTTGAAATCTTCTAAAAGTATCAGAAGTTCTGAATTTTGAATCTAGGAAAAATGTTAATGTTTTTAGCCTATTCAAAGAAAGTATCTAGTGATCTTTTTTCCATTGGACAAATTCTATGTGACAAGGACATGTTGCTAGTGTCTCATATATTCATGAAGCTGCATGTCCATGATCCAATATTATTAGTATTGACTAGATGCTATGTGTTGCATTGTGTCATTCATGACCTTGAGATTTCCGACATGTTTCTTACTTCATTAGGAAATGGGGATGATTCATAGGACTTCATAAGTGATCCCGAGAATGGGCAGTTATGAATAAGATTACATGGGAAGTCTTATTTTGGTTTAGGCATGTGTCCATGGATTGCTACTTGGCAGTCACTGAAGCCTATAACCAAAGCAAACCAACATGGGTAAGTCTGCTCTTTTGAATTGAAACATTTGAGAAAGGCTGCATTCTTTTTATTGTCATATAAAGCATTCATATGTTTTCATCCTTCTTGGACGTAAGTGAACTAGAATCATTTTTCTTTCTTAAATTTGTTTCCTTTTCATTTATATATTCATCCAATGACCATGCATTAGAACATGTTTACATGAAACTATGAAGTCTTCTGATGTGTATGCGGTACTTGCTGCTGCTGTTCAACTGTGAATCATGAGGGGTTTATGTCCAAAACTGTCATATTTGACACTTGGTTTGAACATGTTGAAGGTAAAGTTTTTAGAGTATGTCAGAGAGTTGTGCTTACAGGTTGATAATGGGCTGTAAAAGGAAATTTTTCTAGTTAGTGATTCAGAATCTCTGATATTCTTTCTGGTATTTTGAGATCGGTGAACGTGTCAAACGTGTTATTGATTTTTTAGGCCTCACGATGAATTGCTCTGCAAGGTAGGCTACTGGGAATGGAGGATATCTTGATAATTGGGTTGCTGATGTAAGTGTGTTTCCTTCTATAATTTTTGTATTGAGTATGACATGATTACAAATTGTGAAAACGCTGTATCTGAAGTTCTTGTAATTGATGTTGGGAAGACCAGGTAACATGATTGGGAGAATCTGTAGAATATTTTCTTCTTCTTCTTCTTCTTCTTCAATTTTTTTCCCTTTCTATGTTTGCAACATCATCTATATGTATTTGGTGGTGATTTCTTTTGCTGGTTGTGAGAAACTATTTCTTATTCCATTTTTTCTAAGCATTTTCAAAAATATAAGAAAATTCCAAAAATATATTCAACCCATTTCATAATTTTCTATATTTTTATTTGTTTGTTTTATTCTATGTGACTAGATAGAAAAATAAAAAATAAAAACAGAAAAAATAAAAAGAAAAATAAAAAATTAGGGAGTGAAATGGGAGGAAATAAAAGAAAGCACTAGGATGAGTGAGAACGAAATAATATAAGAAAAAATTATATAAAAAACCACCTTTTGTACTTTTTAGGAGAGTAACTTGGACGATACAAATTATAAGTAGGGGGAACTTCAGATAAGAGGGAACACGCTTTGATAGGCAAAAAAGCTTGTCTTTTTGTACTTTTTATGAGAGTAACTTGGACAATATAAATATAAAAAGGAGAGAACTTTACATACAAAGGAACACGCTTTGATAGGCAAAAAAGCTTGGTCAACCACCAAAATAGCAACCCACAAACCAGCATCTCGATCTCCTACACAAATCAGCCCGGTCGAACAACCATGTCAGCCATGGTCGCTTTCCCTTCCTCATAATTAATCGATCCAGTCACAATTACCCCCATCCTGATCGAGCGGTTGCCACCAACATCGGCCCTTTCGCCCCCTATCTCCTTACTGAAATTACAGCCTCCAAACCTCACGGATCGGCCCGGACCAACAACCCAGAAAGTCTAGCCTTTAAACCGAACCAACAACCTTGAAATCCAGCTTTTAAACCGAATCAAGTAGCTCAAAAGTCCCTCAACATTAGTTGTGACCTTAACCTCCTTTCACCCTGAAATCTAATCGAAGTTTTTGCCATTGTCTTGCTGTCTTTTAGCCGATTTAGACCGAGCACTTGATATACATGCGTCTCCACTATTAAAACGTTCGTCCAGTTGCCGCGCGTGAGGTGCACATGCCGAATTGCCCCCAACAGTTTCCAGCGGTGTTCATCCGATCTCCATAGCTCCTGAAGGTCAATCTTGATCCTTGAATGGATATTGTCTATATCGAGTAATTTTCGTTGTGTAATTAAATTGAATGAATTGTGATGAATCTTGTACGATTTGATCTATGCATGAATTTATGTTTGTCGTTTTTTATTTAAACATGTTTATTGATTTAATTTTCATAACTTAAAGTCGGTCAAGAAATTGTAAATTCTATTTAGGTTTCTTCTTGGATTTTACATTAAAAGTAAGTAATTTTTGTCTTGTCAATATTAATGTAGCATGCATATATTTGTACGTTTACTTCTTTGATGTATGTTTGCTATTTTTTTTTCTTGTAGCTTAAAAATTGACATAGAAATTATAAATTCTAATTAATTTTTTTTCCTTGGAAATCACGTTAAAGATAAGAGAGTTCATATTCTTGATAAATGTGGATGAATTATGTTTTGTATTATGATGAGTAAATCTGAGTTGGATCGTCAGGGTTTTCTGGCTCAGTTTGGATATAACATAACAAAATAAATCAAAATCTAATTACCTATAACCATTTCATGATCGTATTCAAAAAGTAGGAATTGAGGCTATAATAGTTTTACACCTTTAATAACCAAAACACACATATATTAATTTAGTCAAACCTTAAGTATGATAATTTAGAATGATTTTAGGATGAATTTAATTCTCTTTATAATAACTAACATTTTCTCTAGAATTTTTAAAAATCAATTAAGATTTCTAGTTACTGGAAACAATTTCTCATCTTTCTAGTTTTCTACAATTTCTCATCTTTCTAGTTTTCTCCTTTTACATATAGTTTACTGATATATTTATTGGGACATTGGTGTTAGCACGAATTTTATTATCACATAGTCTAGGAGTTCTCCATGATGGCTCTCGCCCTAGTGGTATAGCACCTAGTTTGATGCATTGTTTGTCAGATGCTAGAAATAATAGCCAGACAGACAGGGTGCGCGTCTGTGTTTGTGCAATTATTGCACCGATTCCAATGGAGTTGGTGATTTTGTTCTCTCTGTTTTTTTTTAATCAGATCAAGTTCATGATTTTGTTCGTGAATATAAAGAAACAAAGACAAGACGGACGACTACTGTTAAGGAAGATGGAAGACTTCTGTTAATTTGTCCAAGTTAGGTAATTGACAGAGGTGGAGGAATTTTAATATGAACCACTTGATAGCTTGTATCCTGTGTCCAACTGAGATTCCTCTGTTCAAAATGGACAGTGTTATTTGAATCAAGGCATGAAACTTTTTACCCTTTCCCAAATCCTTGGTTCAATGTTCAAACGTGTCAGGAAGAAGATAGGATTGTCACCAGAACGGGGCTACGACAGTGTAGAAGTAGAGCTTTGCCTTCCCAGTCGCATTAGAATGGGAGGTAGCATGGTGATTGTTCATGGATTCTACTTTCATGTGAGATGGCAGTGTGCAGAAGCAGAGCGAAGGTTTGGCTTGTTTCTCAGTTTCTCTGTGACTGACTGTAACTGGTAGTGTTAAATACAACTCGATGCCGTAGGCCACTCTAGAGCCTGAATCCTGGACAAAATTAGTGTCAGCGAAAGCTAAACGGCTCGTATTTCGTGGACTAATGCCAAATAACAACTCATTGTCTGGTGTTAGTGAAGGTACCAGAACCAGAACCTAGATTTCTTCCGTCATGTGTTTACACAGAAAGGAAGGCTGCCTGTAATATGGGAAAAATGCCATGTGCAGGTTATAAGCAACAAAGCTCATGAATAGCAGCAATTTTAGGTTCACGATAATGCAAAGATCTCTGATAATGTTATTTACAACGGAGATGACATTGGAGAGGGAAGGTGTTAACGAGGGAAAGACAAAACTCATCAAGATATGTGTGGAATTGATATAACTGCTTGGCATTCTAAAAGGGAGGTGATTGAACTCAGGGAGAACAAGCAGCGAACTTTCTAAATGGTTCTCATTGAAGTAGTTCCTCATTAATAAAAAAGGTTGATACAATAAAAGGAGGTTGGGGGGGGGGGGGGGGTGGGTGGGGGGGGGTGGGGGGGGC